TTAAACAAAGACGTGTTCCCACCAAATGCGAGCGGGAAACAAGAGAGAGGAAAAACTGTTTATCCAGCGAATGCCAATTTTGTGCCTCGGAAAAGGAATTAATCATCAGTGGCCCTCTCAGAGGTTATTTAGAAATGGGAAAACGCCTGTGAACTCTTTTTCTCTCACACTCAAAGTGTGTTCTTTTGATGTCAAGCATTGTGTAATTTAATAGGCCTGTGTTTTCACACAACATCTGCTTGTCAACCTGACGTTCAGCGCTCTGTGTTGTGGAGAGAACTGGAATAAAAAGAGCAAGCGTTTGAGCTGGGACTAAGGTAATGCGAGGCAATTATGACAGGCCCACAACCTCAGACCGAACATCTACAGGAGTTCAGCTCTGTGCTAATCTTACACAGAGAAGAATGAATGTTATTCTTCTGAACCTGTAATGGCGTCGAGTCTGAGCAGATTAAATCTAATGTTTAACACATGGCAGAGGCCGGCCTCAGTATGGGATATAGAGGAGAGATAAGCGCTCAGACACCCTCAGAACACCCACTAGTCCTGAGTGTGAAATCACGGCCGGGAATGGAGAGTGGGCAACAAGTGTCGAGTATGAGTATTAGCAGTGGCTACAAAATGAAATGCACGTGTCTGGCTGCAACACCACAGAGGGCAAGTTGTGTTATTGAGGCAGAGGGGAAAAACGTGTTGAGGAAGCCTCTCTGACACTGTGGTTTGCCAAGCTACCTAACAAGCCTCTCATGACTTAAAATAGTTTACTACAGACAAGGCAAGCAGGCTTGATAAAGTAATTATCTGCAGTCCACCACAAATTATCAAAAAAGTAGCTGGGTCATTCCTGTTATTTCAACTTTGTAACTAAAACGAAATAGAAAGAAAAAAGTTAACATATGGGTCATTCCTGTTATGCAGCACACTGAATGTCCTCATTATATCTGGATAATTATTTCGACACTTTATATTGAATTTGATAAAGCGGTGTCCAAGAGTGCTGATATACAGTCCAACAGCACTGGGACTTTTCACTGTGTGTATCCCTCCACTGGTAGGGGGAATTTTCCTCTTTCTGCAGGTTACACCGCTACACCAGCAGGTGGCAACAAGTTACTGTCTTTATAAATAAGTAATAGAATCTGTCACTTAGAGCTGCAATAAGTTAACTGAAATCGAATCAAAATCGCGATTAAATTGTTTGGTCTTGTGTGATTATGAAATCGCGAAAGCTGTCATGTGCGGCTTGTCAGTGAAGTATGGCTCTGTGATCAGTAGTAAATGCTTGAGTAGTAAATGATTGAGTCAGTTATAACATGCATGTGAAAAAACAACATCTTTCTGAACATGAGAAGCATTTATGAACCTTTTGTCCAAAGGACAACATTTAATAAAGTTTTTACTCCAAACTCACTCCATAACATCAGTCAAGTGTTTGAAATAAAATCCTTTTGCGAGATGATGTGGCTTCTAACACAGAATGAGGCACGTAACATATTATTTCATAGTATTCTAGGCAGTGATAAAGGCTATGACGATTAGCATTGCATTATGCATATACTTTATTATAAAGAAAATACATGAGAAGGCTTGAAGAACTCAGATAAAACGTTTATTGTTATAGTCATGTGTTAAGTCATGTTGAATTAATGTTTGTTTGTGTTTAACGCCATGCCAGCTTCTGTGGCTATTTTCATGCGTCGAATGAAGTTCAATCTTTCCAGGAACGACATGCATTACCTTACTTCTGTGAGGCATATTTGGAGTTTCAGCACAAGAGCGCCCTCTGGCCTTCGGATGGAGCAGAATTTACTACTGATCACAGAACAGTGCTTCACTGACAAGCTATCCATGAAAAAAAAATCGCGATTCCAGTTTAATTCCGATTAATCGTGCAGCTCTACTTTCACTCAATTCGCACATTTTAAATAGGAAAACAAAAGTATAAACAACTATTACCACCTGATCTGTGATGACCTGCTGATCTGAATTATGTGATTTGCATGGTGTCAGTTGATCTGTCTGTAAAATATCCTGTTCGATAAATGATGGAATAACATAACACGCGAAATGACAGTTAAAATATACAAGTTAATAAATGAATAGGTGTTTTATTATAGAAATTAGAGCAGTACCAGGGGACATACAAATGGCAACATCCTCTCAAATTAAAGTAAAATGAATGTGATAGAATACACCTCTTATTTTCACTCTATTTCACAAGTAATTAAAACATAAAAATGCACTGCATGGTAGGAATGACAGTTAACTACATTGAAGCTATTTACAGTAAATTATGTAATGTTCTTGGAGGTCAAACAGTTGAGCGTGGAACAAAGCCAAGGTCATGGGTTTGATTCCTAGGGAGTGCATGAACTGGGGAAATGTATACACACTGTGAATGCAATAAGTCGCTTTGGATAAAAGTGCCTGCCAAATACATTTATGCAGTGGTTCCCAAACCTGGTCCTGGAGTACCCCCAACAGTACATATTTTGGATGTCTCTCCCAACTGGTCTTAAAGTCTCTTTGAATCAGGTGTGTTTTATTAGAGAGTTGGGGGTACAACAGGACCTGGATTGGGAAACATGTAAATTTAATGTATAATTCATTAAACAAATCAACATTATTTATCTGGAACAAAAAATGATCTGGTTTAAAATGACTTGCATCAGGGCTTTAACACGTCTCAAAACAAGAGTCATGGCATGCTTTGACCCTCACATGAAAATTATCGTTTAGAGAACGGGAACCTGATGTCAGCAACGCAATGCATTGTGGGATTTTAGGGCACAAGTGCTAGAGTAGAGACTGAGTAGTAGTTAATATAGACATTTTATATTATACTGTGTTTACATGATCTAACTTCAGAACACAGTGAAAAGGTGAACGCTTGCTGTATTATCAGCAGCCATAGCTGATTTTTCAGCTTTCTAGCATTGAAGCAACACAATGGTGAGAGTGAGGTAAACAACTTAACCAAAACTGTTTCCTTGTTCAGCATCTCTTAGTAAGGAATCTTGCACTTGTATTATTTGTATAGCACTCTTTACAATACACATTGTTTCAAGCTTTACAGGGTTACTGTTATGTCTATAATGGCTTAATGCTTTAACACTGATGATATATAACAATGATATAAATGATCCACCATTTGAGATTTAGCTATTTTCTATTTATTATTTTAGTTGTTATATCAGCGCCACTTTAATAAACAAGACTCCTGACAAAGACACTAGAAGGCAAGCCTGCAACCTTTAGCCAAAAATGCGTGACAGCTAATGCTAACATTGTGGCTTTGGCGGTACACAGGGAAGGGTTGGATCAGGGTTGGAGCTGAACTTTGCAGGAATTGGGCACCCCTGCCTTAAAGCAACAGCACCAAACACTACACTACAAAACACTATACACTACAAAATTAAACAAAAATACCACAATGAACATGTTAACTCTATAACTAATATAAGTGAATGAATTCAGTAATTAACAGCAGTATTTTACATAAATATATCTATCATATGTACACAACTATTCAAAATGTTGGGGTTGGTACAATTTTTATATATATCTTACGCTCTTATGCTGTGTTTTGTAGTTAAAATACAGTAAAAATAGTAATATTGTGAAATATTATTACAATTTAACTGTTTCTATTAATATATTGAAAGTTTAAAATAGCATTTTTTTTTAATTTTTTTTGTGTGTAACAATGTATTAATTTATTTTAGTATTAATATAATTAATATTAATTATAGTATTAATTTTCTTTGAAAAAAAAAACCACTTACTGTACACACACACACACACACACACACACACACGCACACACACGATTTCTGGGAACACTGCTGCACTGAATGATGACTTAGGCTACGTTTACACGGCAACGATGTAGTCAAAAACAGAAAAATTTTTCCCTTGCGTTTTTAAAAAGTTTCACGTAAACGCGACAACGTTTTCAAAATGATTCACTTCACACATATCCGCAAAAACGGCCAAAAACGCTATATTACGTATGCCAGGCCAGTAGTTGGCGCTGTCACCTTGTTAGTAAACAGTACCTGTAGGGAAGTGACGATTATATGATGTATATGATGCGTCTCCTCTGTTTGTTGTAATATTGGTGAAGTAAATCCACACTTTGCTGAAGAAGCGTTAGCAAACTCTTGAGCAGCAACAACAGTACCATGTACTCCGCCATTGTTGTGTATGTTTGTTCGCGCTTGCCTTTAAAATCGACACGCACTGTGCATGTCTACATACCTAAAACATACTACGCACACGCATGACGTCACCGTTTTCAAAGATTCCTGTATTGGGTGTTTACACGGAAACGATAACGGTGGCGTTTTCAAAAACTTGCACTTTGAAACCCGTCTTCAAAAATATGCGTTTTCAGTCCCCAAAACGCCGTTGTCGTGTAAACAATCAGGCAAAACGCATAAAAAGTTTCCCGTTTTTGGCTGAAAACGATGTTGTGTAAACGGCCCCTTAAATTAGTTGGTTTCTGAAACGTTTCATTGAAATGAACAAACAGATTAGCTCAAATGAATCAGACTTGAGAGAGAGGACATTCTAGAAGAGCATCTTTGATGTTTTAATTATTAGCTCAGCTCACTTGGTTATAAGGCTGTATAATGTCATAACATTTCTGATGTAGTATTTCTGTGATGCTAAACTACTACTTTTTAGTTCCCAAACAACATGCGAAAATACACTCACATCTACATACAGTAGAAACTGGAAACATACAACACAGAGTGTGAATAAGACTAAAGAAAGAAGGTAAAGAAAAACAAGACCCCACATCACACCCACATGTTTGAGGGAATGCACATGAATTAATGCACATATATTTGCATGTGCATTATGCATGAATTGCTCCAGAAATACAGATTACACATGAGCATATCTATCTATCTATCTATCTGGACTGAAAAGCAGGACATAGTGTTTTTCCTTCCTTTTAAGCTCCCTCAGAACATTTAAACAATCATGTTTACCTGTGCAGACTTGGCCAGCTTCTGATTATATTCCTTCTCAAGATGCTTCAACCTGCTGTTGGTCTGTAATGAAAGAGAACACAGGAGAGGAGGGTGTTAGAAACAGAGAGTGCAGACACATGACACCGGATTGGCTGGCAGGAAGCGCGGGGAGTCGCTTTGCCGTGACCTCTGCGGCTGGCAGGCATGTTGGCATGCGTGTGGCTGGAGCTCTGGGCTCAGGGCCAGGCCTGACACCACAACAGCACACGGGCCTTTCATCAGAAGCCAACTTATCACCACTTAACAGGAAGAGAGAGAACAATATCACAACGTTATCTGCAAAACAAGAATATGACATGAAAAAAAAAAAACCCCACCAAGCTTTTAAGAGCAAGAACATGAAAAGCAACAAAAAACAAAGAGATAAATGACTATACGAGGGTTATTTATTTTTGTTGTGAAGAGTCAGATGCGCTTTTGTTGCTTGCTCACTAACAAACTTATATTAGTGGTAACAATTTAGTGTAGTGACCAATTCTCACTATTAACTAGTTACTTATTATCATGCCTTTTATTAACATATTGGCTGTTTATTAGTACTTATAAAGCACATATTCTGCATGACCATATTCTACATCCCTAATCCTACCCAATACCTAAACTTAACAACTACCTTACTAACTATTAATAAGCAGCAAATTAGGAGTTTATTGAGGCAAAAGTTGCATTTAATTGTTTGATAATAGTGACATTTGGACCTTAAAATAAAGTGTGACCATACTAGTAAGAGACTGACAGAAAAAAAAAGAAGTTTACTGCTGGTTGTTATGTTGGCACTCAGAGTAGCAATTCACCACTGTAATGCTTCCTACCTATCATAAACTTGTAAAGATAGGACTCAAACAGTTCGTCTTGGCCAATGATGTCTAATATAGGGTAAGGTAGGGTCATAGATGGTCATAGATAACAAAAAAATCTTCTCAACACATACCTAGATGGAGAGTTATCCATTAGCATTCTCATTCCTTTCAATGGCAGTTGCTTGGCTGGTGCACAAAGCCCCATAAAAATGTGACCTACATTTCTTTTGAGCCAATCAACTGATCAGATGTGGCTTGCAAAAATCTATTTTACCAGAATACATAAGTAGTTTTTTAAGATCTAATCTTGGGAAAGTCCACATAATGTTGACAACACAGCTTCCACACTAACACAATGAACTCAAGTTTCTGATGTCAAATCTCTAGTGTGAAAAGCCCTCAGTAAAATATGTAAAGTGATCAGATGCACATGCAGGTGAAGTCGATGTTGAGGTTGATGCTACTGATGCATTGGGCCGGAGGCATCAACACATAAGCTACTGCTAAAACACACACATACATACAGACCAGCAAACCCACAAGCAGATCCATCCCGGGCCCTCCCTCTCTCTTATCTTGTCAGTCACTGTATGTCCCCTCGAGCCTTTTACACTGATGAGAGAAACAAGGCAACTCTAGCATCTATAAAAAGGATATTCTTTGTTTTTTGCTGCTTGTGTTGCCATAGAGACCCTACGCTTCCTTAATTCTGCCAATGGGTAATGGGGAACTTTGTGTGAATGACATTTTGAATGGCAAATATCTGCCTTTAATGAATTTCCTCATGCTTAAAAGAACAGTTACACCAACACTGAAAACTCTAATTTACCATCACGTCGTCCAAATGTTATGACATTATTTCTGTTGAATACAAAAGGATATGTTTATCTGAATGTTCATCTAGCTGAATGCGTCTCTTTTCTATAGAATGAACATCCAAGAGGACAGATATTGCAGAGGCCTGACATCCATTCTTAAATTTCGGACCTAAATCCTGGACGGATGGCCAGTCCATAAAAGGGCTCACACAAAGATAAAAGAATACAGACTTAGAATACAGTGCATAAATTGTATAGACTAATTTTATGCTACTTTTATTAACGTTTTTGGTGCAATGCCTGGTCACTGTATGTTTTTGGTGTATGGAAGAGCAGCGTGAACATTAGGGCTGTCGAAATTAATCGTTTCTACGATGCACTGCGATGCAGACGAGGACGATTCGGTATCGGTTCAGTAATAGGCCATAAACGATTATAACATACTGATGATTTTCTGATGTCATTTGTCATACAATGGCGGAGGGAGGCGAGATGCGAGTGCGAGTAATTAAAAATGCTCGAACTACTTTAAAAGCCGACATCTGTGCACATTTCGGCTTTAATGAACAACCTGGTAAGCACGATCTGGAGAAGACACACGCGGTGTGTAAATCACGTCACGCACAAATAAAATATGCAGGGGGTAATACCACTAACTTGAGAAACCACGTCAGCCGTTTTCACCCTGAGCTGTTAACACCTGTCAGTGCCAAGTATTTAGTATTTACTTTTGTGTATTTGTTCTAAATGCTCCTTTTGTCTTCTGTGCCCAGATTTGAGTTTTGTTTGATGTTTGATACATTCAAGAAGCATGTTTTCTTTGAGCAGGTAAAATTAAAGGTTTAGTTCATATATCTGACTGCTTGTATTTATTGACAAAATTGTATCAGGCATGTGATCAGCTAGAGACAAAAAAGAAGGAAAATCTGACCACGCCCCAAGTCACGCCCACAAGCCACGGCCCCAGCACCTATTATTAAAAATATATATTTTAGCACATTAAAAGATATATCTTATATTGTAATAATACGTACTATTGTTCTGTAAAAAATAAAAAGCAGCACTTAATAATCATGATAACGATATAATATAATATATTATAAAAAAGTACTATATTATATTATAGTAAAGTATATAGAATTGTTATTATTATTAAAGTAAAGTGAAGGATTATGTGAAACTGAAACTTCTCTTTGTAAACAACAACAGATTTATAATGTTTCTAATGACGAATGTTGCATTTCCAAATGCAAATTAAAACGGCTCAAACCAAGCACAGCTAGCACTAACAGTGAATCGAAAATAAAAACAGTACTGTAACAGCAGACATGTAGCGCGTCAGACTACAGCCTAGACCCCCCCCCCCCAAAAAAAAACCCTCGGATCTACGGGAATCACATGGGGCATCCCTCAGAGGTCGGAAAATATGGAAATCCGTATTTATATGGAAAAATCACATCCCTGTTGTATACATGTGAAGTAAAATTTAAAATTGAGGATGCAGTGCATCGTCAATGCACTGTGATGCATCATGATATCGAATAGAACCGAATCGATGACATGATAATCGTAATCGAACCGAATTGTGAGACCAGTGTAGGTTCATACCCCTAGTGAACATGGGTTTACAATATGCGGGGGATGTGGGGGACATGTCCCCCCACTTTTAATAAAATTAAAATTAGTCCCCCACACTTTTTTCGGGCAGGTGTGTTCACGTACATGTATTCTAGGGCCAGTGAAAATAAGTCTACATTTAAAATCAAAGAGACAGTATAGTCTATGCATGACCTGTCACCTGACGTTTTATTCATATCCAAAATGACACAAAGTGAACATTATAGAGCGCTTAAGACCCTCATGCAGTGTATGTTTCATTCATACACGAAGCCTGAGGGCGCTCTTGCACAGAAAGTCCAAAACAGACTCATAGAAGTAATAACTTGCAGGAAATCCTTAATGTGGACAAAAGCATGAATATAAAGCAGAAACGATTTGACTGATTAAACATTTAGACAATATACACACACGATTGCGACAATATATGGTTTATATGTGTTTTTCAAGTCATCTCCAGGTAATAAATGAATAAAATTTATGAATAATGCTAATTTATATACTATTTAGTACAGAAACTATAATATATATTATGTGATAAAAATGGGAAAGAAGTGTTTGTAGTATAAAAACCAATCATAAAATTGTCATTAGGAAAATATAGGGGGGAAATATAGAATACAAATAATTGTCATCTATAAGCTTTGTTATTGTCCATCAGTGTATTTGGGGCCAGATATACTAATAGCTTGCGCCAGCGCAAACCGTCTTTTAGCGTTAAAATAGCACTGTCAGGATTCACTAAAGACGCGCAGTGAGGATTTCCCGCTGAAAAGGTGTGGACTCAGTTATTTTTTTGAGCCTGACCTTACTGAATATGCATTTGTAGGAGTTTCCCTTTCAAACACAACATTTATGGGAGGAGAGTATTAAAATAAATCGCAATTTACTAACGTTTGCGCTCGTCAAATTACTGGTATTTGCGCCATTATTTAACACCCAAAAAAAGCATGTCTTAAAGCAGCCGGTAATTTGCGCTGGTCATTATGGAAATGATCTGGCTGCATCTGTGTTCTTAAATGTGCGCATTGTCAGTAAATCACACGCAGAATTTTCCCCTCCCATCAGCGCTTTATGGAATTGCACTCTAATGCTAATTTGCCCTGTTTAGTAAATCTGGCCCTGAATTTCTTAAATCAATTAAAAGTCAAATCTCAATTAAAGACAATAATAATAATAATAATAATAATAACAACAATATTTGTCATTTCTGTTGCCCTCACTTTTGAAATGATGGCTATGCCCCTGAGCGTGAATATTCTTTCAGTCTTCCATGAACGACAACATAAGTAAATTATGACAATTTTCCTTTTTTTTTTTTTTAAGAACTAATCCTGTAACATGCAAACATTGATCTAAGTACAGAGGATCCAATGAACAGAGGGTGCTTAATGGATCTGCACTGAGTATGGAAAAACACAAACAGTAAGAAAGCTGGAAAAGCATGGAAAAATGAAGCATTTGGACTGCTTTGTGTGTGTTTCCTAGCAAATGTCTGTACCTTGCCAAAGGCATCTTAGAGCTACAGGCGCTTTGAGCTTCTATCAGGTGCTGCAATCGCTTCACAATATTGCCGGTGTGAGTCCACGGCCTTTGAAGTGTGAACGCTGTATTTGAATGTTACTGTTTTTGAAAGCACAAAGCATGCAGCGCTAAGCCAACCTTCATTAACAATCTAATTCTGGAGCTGAGCAATCACAACACTCACCCTTCCAATCATACACATTAAAACAGAAGGAAAATAAACATCAGCAAACATACCTACAGGGATAATATAAGATGTAAT